AATTCTTGATGACAAGACATTACATCTCTCACAGGTGAAAGCTGAATCTGATTGAAATGAGGGCTGAAGAACGCACCCAGGTGTACCAAATATTGGGTTAGCATGAGAAAAAAACTTGTAATGCTTGACTAGCCAGACCAGTCAGGAAGCTTCCTGCAGAACAATGGAGGTGTGAAAGGAGTTTAAAGTCAATCACCTATTTAATAAATAAATCTCAGTCCCAATCCGTGAATATGGCAGGCAAATGCCCCATGATTTCATTGAAGATGTAAGGAGCAAATGCAATGCCAAAGGGAAGAGCACTGAACTGGAAGACTTGATGCCAATGGATGAAACAGAGAAAATGTCTAGATGGAGCAATTGGAATGTTAAAAAATTGTCTGATACATTGTCCTTGGTAATCCACAGACCAGATGAAAAAAGACCACCAGAGAGAAATAAAACCCTCTATTCGGAACCATAGAAGAACTAGAAATCAGCTGAGAGACAGGCCGATAGCTAGATGCCAGTTCCTAGTCTTTTTGGAGTAATAACCTGGAGTAGGGATAAGTACTCTCATGATGACACCTTGGCTAAGAGATCTGAGATCGTATCCTCAAGATGCTGAAAATAAAAGGGGTCAGATGGAGGAGGAAAAGAAACAGGAAAAGGAGAGATAGGCATCAGGTGGGAAACAGAAGAACCCATTAGTCAGCCAAAAATGGAGATCAAAGGCTGGTGAAGTGAGAGAGACAGACATCCAGTGGGCTAAACCCAACAGGATAGTCACCAAAGAGATGAGCAATGAGCCTGACATTGTTAAGTAGAAGAAAAGGTAGATGAATAGGAAGCAGGAATGGGTAGGGGAGATGTAGATTGAGCAGGAACAGGAGGGTAAGGTTGAGAAAGAGGAGAAACCAAAGAAGAAAATGAGGACTGATGGCAGGCCACTCTGGCCTGGGTTTCCAGAGTCAGAAACACCACTGAAGACCTCTGGGTAAATAAATGGAGCCTTACTAATATCATGGAAATAATAGTGAGCAGACAAACATTAATTAGGAGAGCATCCTGATGCAAAAGCAGAGGAAACAAGTAAGGAGAGATAGAACAAAAGTAGTAATACATACTAAAGTGTTGAAAAGAAGAGAATGAACCTTTTCACAAAACACTTTAGGAGCATGATGAAGTGCCTCAGAAATAAGATGACGGGACGAGAGGTAACATAGGTAGGTGGTAAGAAAGAAACAAAGGTCTGAAAATTGGGCACTATAAAGTGAAATAAAAGTTAAAGGGTCTATCCCTCAAGCAAGTAAAGAAGATTCAAAAGAACAGGAGTCAATAAATGGAAATGAAGAATGGCTGTAAGCCAGAATAAAAGAGGCAAGGAGGATGGGGCATGCAAGTACGGATGTGCAGCTGTTCAAGTAACAATGTATACAAAGATCCTAATATCAGGAAAAGTAGGGAAAACAAAGTAATCTTGAATATGGGTTTCAAGTAGTAAAGAATGGGATAAAGCAAACCCTGGTTGGGGAAACAGCTGGTCAAAATCATCATCATTGTGGTCATGTTCAAACTGAGGAGAAATAATGTCAGCCAAATGGATGCATGAGGGAATCCACAACTCATTGAACATGTCACATCCTCATCAAACAACTAGCTTCCAATAGCCACAAGTAAATAACATTGTCACCATCAAAGGATGAAGTTTAAGTTACCATAACTTTTAAATTCATAGTAGGTAAACAGGAAAAACTTGTTCTTCTTCTTTAGTACAGAAAGAAACAGTTAAACTTGAATGAAATTTATGTTCTGTAAATTATCACAAATCTCCTGTATTTAATGAACTTTAAAACATTCTTTTGTTGAGACAAAGCCAGTGAAAAGAATGCCGTTACTTTGAGCACAAATGCTTAGTTGGAGCTACTATGCAATTAGCTCGTGTCACCCTCCTACTGGTGGAGGACTATTGTCACATGATTATGTCATCACGCAGTAAAGCATTTCACGTTAAACATATGATTTTTAGGTGGAAGTTAGCTCAAGGCTATTGTTATTAAAATCTCTAAGGCAGATACCTGAGGGATCAAGCTATTCTGTGTGTCGTGGTGAGGGATCCTCACAGAATTTAAATTCTCCTGATAATATTTTGTATGTCTATTTTGTCTTTTACCTTTGCTGTATAAAATTAGTTACTACCAATTGTATACGGAGATTACAACAATCAATGTCACCATACAACAGATCTGCAGATATATGAGGACTGGTTTTGTATGATCCAAATATTTCATGGAGCTATAAGCTGGCAGAGGAACCAAACAAAGTGGGTTTGTCTACTGACACACCCATAATAATACTTACATATAAGACATGAATTTCAAAAAAAGACCCAAAACTAGTGCTTTTGAATAATTAACTATTCTTCTGAATAACAGTCAACTATTCAAAAGTTAACAAGTTTTGGGTATTTTTTTGAAATTCCTGTGTCCTAACTCATTTAATCTGAATACATATAGGATGTGAAAGACTAATGACAGCACATAACTGGCTGGCTGTACCTTAACTGAAACTTTAGAATGCAATACTATAGAATACTCTGTTTAAATGGGGAGATAGCCAATTTACATTTTCAGCACATGAAATGTTATTTCTTGTTTTGATTCACTGCACTTCCTGTTCATCCTTCCACTTGAGTACAATATCCTGTAATAACAATGGCACGAGAAAGGGGCAAAGAAAATGCAAAATTAAGTATCCTGATTGGCACATATATGCCATCTTTATTAACAAAGATCTTATAGAGGGTTTTAACACCTTAGGCCTACAATTTTAAAATAATGCCCTGTTTCGGTATTCGAAAGGTTGGATTTGTTGTTTACCTTGATGAAGCTTAGTGAAACCAGTAGTTTTAACAGCTGCATTACATTCACTTATGACATGATAGTACATGTTCAAATTGTTCATTGTTGAATTCTGGGGGGTGTTCTTTTACATGCTGAGCTGCATTTTGAAGAATGTATCTTTGAACACTTCCAGAATTCAACTACAAACGACTCACATGTATTACCATGTTTTGAGAGAATGTAACACAGCAGTTCAAAGTAGTGAGAATGAACTTTAAATAAAACAGAGCCTCATAATCAGTAACAGGAAGCCTACAACCAACAAACAGAAATATGTGATGCCACTGACATTGAGAATCTAGGCCTTATAGCCTATTGGACAGATAAAAAAATTTCAATTTTAGTATTAAAAAAAAATCCCTAAAGGAGTTACAGATGCCATGGGGTGACCTCATTTAGAATTCCCTCAACAGCCTTGGAAAGCTAAAGGAGTTTTATATCTTTAGGCTCAGATATTTCAATGAGTAAGTCCCTTGGTCTAAGTTTTATAACAAAATTACAGAGTGTGACCTAATGAGCCACCTCCAGTTCATTTTAAATAGTGATATTTTTTCAAAGATGTCTCATACAGAAATTAAATAATAAAGAATCCAGGTGCAGATAGAGTATTGAAAAAAAGAGAGTGAGGCAAGTCATTATGAGCTAAGTCTTTGGTTTAAAATCTACTCAAGATCCAGCTTCAGGTTTTAAGAGATTCCACAGAAAAGTGAAGTACCTGAACACTCACTGACAATACCAACCATGAAAGGGATGTTGCACCAATAACAAAGCAACATTGGACTCTATAGGCAAACAGGTATTAGAGGACAAGCCTAATACAGGTGTTCTGTTGGCCCTAGCCCTAGCCATTCATGAATTGACTGATCCTGAGGTGGCCACCTCAAAACTACTATCTACAGGGATTAAAGACCATAAACAGTGACATTAAATTGTCAGAACCCTCCTTTCGCTTTCATGAGTCACCACAAATCGCAAACACATGAGTAGATGTTAACGTCTCAGAAGAGATAAACATGATGAGTAGAATATTCCCCTCATCATGAGAAGAAATCCACATTAGGGGGAAATAGCTAATGTCAACTTGAGGACAAAATATCCCTGAATATGTAACAAATATGCTATATTTGTGTGTATTTAGGTTGGTTAATAAATGGTTTGGTTACAAGTGAAATTTGTAAAAAAAGAGAATGAATAAAACTCCCTTAACACCATTGCAATATGAGATTTCATTTCTTGACTGACATGTAATATACTACATGATGTTTTTTTTTCTTAATGTTTGTTTCAGCACAAAGCTATACAAGTGATTTTATACACTCTGCCTACCAAAGGGAATCAAACATTGGATTTCAGCATTTTATGTTTGAAAACTTATTGCCGACCCATTGGGAGGGACATTTTTCTTAATACATAAAATACTTAACACTCTCAATACACCAACACAGTAACTAGAAAATAGTTTATATTAAACATGGAAAAGAAATGTGCATTTGTCATGATACAAGTTTCAGAAAGACTTTTAATACTTCAGAACTACTACATCCTTGATTCCAAAAGACTAGCTATTCTCGACAGAAACTTTAATATTAATGATTATTATAATAAGATCTAAAAGACCAGGACCATAATAGTTCTTTAGCAGAGTTACCTCTGTTTAAGACTTACGATATGTGGATCAGTATGCCTGATGATATAGTTAGAACTGTTATTTTAAGTTCATTTAAACTTTTATTGGTTAATTTTAAGAATTACATTTGTTTTGAAAGGGTTGTTTCAGTGCTGGTTTTATCTTTTGGCATAGGTAATTTCCTCATTCTTCTGTAAATTTACTTGTTGCTCACCAACAATATCAATATTGCTTACCTGATTAACATTTGGTAGGGAACCAACTCGATAACCTCCTAAAGCCTGGTTAATCAGAATCTGCTGTTTCTGAAATACCCCCTGGAAAGGATACATCAAATTAACTCATAAATTACTACATACTATGTAAAAAAAAAAAAGAAAACATTAATTGCCTCAAAATCTAACTTTGCCTTAATCTTGATATAAATTTGTTGAGTTAGAAGTTTGAGGTTCAATTGTTTCATTTGTAAAAGTCTGTGCCTGAAATTTTTGAATTGTGAGTATATTCTGTTTAACTTTTGAAAGTTCTAATAAATACTGTTTTTTAAGTATACTGGTATTAGCATTTAATTCTTAGTGTTCAAGTTGTTATAAAGGCTGCTTGCATAAAGTACTCCAAATAAGCCCTCACTAGTCTTACACAATAAGCTTCTTGTTCTTAAATTCAAAACTCCTATATCTATAACTAAGAGACTGTATTTGCTTTTTCACCACACTAAAGCACTCTATTGAAGGCTTTAGCATTTTATCAGTAATCACATCCAAATCCTTCTCTTTTCCTCAAAACCAATCTTCTCTCACTCAAGAGTGAAATATTTCTCAGTTTTAAAACTCACCTCACATGTTGTGTCCCAAGATGCTTTTGGATAGGAGAAATATTTTTAAAAGAATTAGCTCTTCCCAGCATTAAAGTACTTGTGTAATCAGTGAACTTAGAAATATTACAATTTAAGAAATTATTCAAATCATTAACAATAAACAATAAAGGTCTTAACAGAGACCTCTGAGAGACCCAACTGTCACATTCTCCTAGTTGTAAAATTGTCAGATTATTATCAAACGTTGCTATCAGCTACTAATCCAATTTCCCATCCAGTTGTTTACCTTTTTTATTAATTCCATAATAATCCAACTCATGTATACTATTAATCTCTTGTGAGACATCAGAGATTTTCTGAAAGTCAAGGTGTACATCATCAATTATGATGAACTTATTCAAGAAAAACAAAATCTGAAACTGTAAAAAATTCTTAAGAAAGTTATATTCTGTCCTGACAGGGTTTGAAACCAAAGCTTCCAGCTTGCACTAGGCCTGTGAAACAGGTGCTTTCCCCAAGTGGGCCTTGAGAGCTACAAGTTTCATAATAAAAAACTATCTTAATTGTTACAAAATCATATAATGTATCATAAGCTAAATCCTAGCTTTCTAAACAATTTCTAACAACAGTTTCCAACAAATTACAAATACAAAAAAATAAAGATCATATTGGCAATCTTCCAATCTTTAGGAATGTCCTTGTTGCCAAAATAACAGTTGAAGTCCCCACTAACTCTCTGTGGGATTCTTTATGGTTTTAGGATGTTTTAGATGAAGAGCTGATTTTCTTTAACATAAATAAAATTTAAGGCCAGATTGGGAATCCCTTTCTCACCTATACAACCAAAAATACCAGTAAGAAGGTTTTTAACATTTAAGCTATATTTTCTTCTTGCATAGTAAAGTTTCTTTCAAAATCTCTTAACTAACTAATATTATTTACAATTCTATTTTTCCATAAAACCCTCCAAGATAAAAATGATGAAACTCTCATGATCCATCTAAGCCTCCTAACGTGATATTTCTATTCTTTTTTATTTATTTCTACACATATAAAACTCATTCTCCACTTTTTAAGGAATGTCCTCATTCTCCAGTTTCATGTAGACATTTTTTGCTTATTAGGAAGTTTCATTTCTCTATCCACCCATTACAGAAAAAGCTTTAAATGGATGGATACAACTGATAAGAACACATCTTTTTTCCAGCTAATTTGTTAAAACTAACTAAAATATCCCAAATTTGATTCATATTCCTCTCATTCAGATTAACCACCTAATCTGTTGCTTTGAAATGTTTTTAAAAAATCTAGAAGTCAGCTTTTCTATATGACACTTATTAATTGGTTTCAATACAACAAGGAATATTAAAATATAATACAACTACTAGTACTAGCTTTAAACAGAGAATTTCTTTGTTCCTGCCATCAAACTATCTACAGTGCTTTGTTTACAACATCCTGTATTGTAGTGCCTATAAATAAATTCTAGTCCTTTTTATGTTGTGCTCCATTACAAACATACCTTTAAGCATGATTAGTTAGAGAATCCCCTCCTGCAAACACTTCAGTGTTATTTTCTTCCTCACACCCACCAATAATCACAGGTTCAAATCTATTTGAAGTAGTTATTTACACCTCATTTAGACTTCCTTCCTTAGTAATAGCACTGGATCTTCTTCCATTGCACAAACTAGTAAAACCAGTATTTGCTTTCTCTTTCTTCTCTAGAAAAATCTTGACTTTGAGATTTACAATCTTTTCTATTCTTTAAGTAACTTCTTCAATAGACACGATTATTTCACTTTTGAACTCTGCAATTTTTCTTAAAGTAAACTCCAACTTTTTCTCAAATAAGCAAGCTTTATGATATTAAAACTCCTCTAGGTTAACCCAATATTAAAATTACATTCAACAATCCAGGCAAGGCGAAAAAGAAGGAAAAATTTTCTAAATAACCTTAGATAAAAGTCTTTAAAACTGTGTTAGTACAACAAAACAAACTACTAGACCCATAACTTTCCAAGTTTTCTCAATTTTTGTTGTACAACAGAGATCACACTACTGATCTTCTGCCATGAGCAACTAATCAATTTCTATTGAATTTTGAAACATAATGCTTAAAGATCTCATCATCTGTTTACTTAGTTTACCCAAAAATATATTTTAGATAGATACATTGCTGCACCACTATGAGTTATTTATTTCTTGTGCAAATGCTGTGAAAATTTGCACATGCCAAAAGGTTTGAACAAACTCTCACCCCTTTACGTGTCGCTATGTATTGCACCAGCTTATGGTGTAACTGTCATAACGCTGTAGCCATCCATCAACAGGAGGGCAACAGAATCTCCAAGTGCAGTAATCCCTGTGAGTTGTAGCACATGATAATAGGCTCATTCTTAACAAGGCAAACAAAACACATCAGAAATGGGGAGAAAGGTGCTGTAGACAGGTAAGTATCTATCTGAAATACATTTTCAGATAAAGAAAATGTTAAATTTACAAACATTACTTACCACTTTGTACCACTATGAGCAAGAATTCCACACTGACAATGATGGAGGGGCCAGTGCTAATCCAAGGATGAGCTCCTTTCTGAAATAGTGACATGAGATGTGACTTCCACAAGACCAGGGGATGCCTAATGAAGCACCACCCAGTGAATAGTCTTTGCTCAATGGGTTTCCATTGTTTACTTACCAGGACAGCAGAGCCTTTGTTTTCTTTGAGCAAGGTTTAATCCACCACTGGCTTGTTAAGCCCATGGTGGCTTCACCAGAGGCCCATTAGGCAAGCTTTTTTCAGAGTGACTCAGGTTGTCCTTCATGGTTACCATAGTGGTTTTGTGGGTTAAATACATTCTTCCAACACCATTTTCATATCAACATTTTGCTATCAGTGCCAAACATGGATATTAACATCAAGAAATGAAAATAAGATTGTCAAAACGGAAATGAGATGCCTCAGAAAAATTCTTAGTGTTATCATCAGAGACAAAATATGTAACAATGACATAAGAGTGAAGGTGAAAACTTAACCAGTCTTTTCATACATCAAGAGACAACAAGTCAAGTGATTCAGACCCTTAATTAAACAACATCCAAATTCTCTGCACCAAAAAAAGCCATTCAATATAAAGATAAACAAATGGAAAGCAAAAGGATGACCATGCAGATAGTAGATTGAAGATGTTTTTAGCACTCTTAAGAAGATGATGATACAGAAGGCAAACAAGTGAGCAACAAACCATTTCCCATGTTTCCCTCAATGCTGCAAGATATCAGAGGAAGTCAAAATGAAATAAAATGAATGATGATAGTAGAGCAAAGGATATCAGGAAAATCCAGTGCTGGTAGTTACATGTCACCAAGGTTGGTGGAACATTAAAAGGTGTAGTGTAGCTAGGGCTTTAGGCAATTCCCATCTAGGTCAAATACTTACATAAGATAGATACTAGTATGACAAATGAAGGGAGGATGAGCCCTCATTTATGTCCTGAGTAAACCCAAGTCCATCCAGATGGACATAACCATTAGGAATTGCTTGGAAGATATTGTAATGGGGTGTTCTGTATTACACTTCAAGATAACACCCCAGTCGTACATCTCAAACTAGAGGGGTAGGCCCAACTGGTCTCTTACTATGGGGAAGGCAGCACTAGCAGAGGAAACTCTCCATATCAACTTGGGACTGGGGAAGTAAGGGTTCTCCCGCACTCCAATAGAAACAACAGGAGATAAAATATTCTTAGGGGAGACCACCAGTGTACGTGTGTGGACCACTATCATTAGGATTAATCACTTGGAATTGTGTCCCCACCAAGAAACAGAGCAATGGATTACCACAACTAAAGATGGTAAGTATGAATTAGGTTTGAGATAAAGGCAAAACTGGTGCTGTCTGTCATTGTTTGTTTAAAGATGTGAAAATGGACAGGTTAATTATATAGATGTACCACTGAAGTAGTCTTTCAGTAAACCTCATCTCAACAGTGGGTGCTGAGCAGAGGCAAATGAGTTTAAAGCTTTCTGTATACCCACATTTAATGTAGATTTTAGGTAAGCATTCCCTGTGAAACAACACCAGCTACTCACCAGGATCTGTTGACACCAAAAACAGGACTCCTAAGCAATGTTTCCTCTAATTTGTTCCATCCATGTGTGGAATGAATTATGTTATGTGCACCAATATCAAGGTAATGTGCAACACCAGTGGAAACAAAAAAGCTATATGTAATGCATATTTTTTAAAAGTTATCATTGTTATGCAAGAGATAGAAATAATATAAAAAGAGATAATTAACAAGGTGCACCGCTTAAGATGTTTATTTAATATGAAATCAAATGAAAAAAATTAGCAATGTGCAAAAGTTTCAGTAGCCTTTTAGAATCTTACATGTATCTATTCCTTGGAGGCATAAAGTTAAATTATCCATTTTGTTGACATATGAAACAAAATATTTTATCATTAGTGTTGATACATGAAATATTTTTTACACTTTCTTCATGCATTGAATGAAAGATTATATCTCTTGACTTGACACATAAAAGAAGTATTCTATCTAGTGTCTTTGTGTATACAGGGAAAGATATATTCCCTTTTGTTTTGACACATCAAATTAAACATTTTTGTCTTGACCCACAAAAAAAAACACTATTTATTTTCACGATTTAGTTCACTAATCACTGTCACTAGAATGAGAGCCTAAGACAGTAGTTGGCAGGCTTGATGATGGGGTAGATACTTGTCCCTGGTCAAGAACTTTTTCTTTTTCTGTCTTTACCACTCTTTTGGTGTTTAAATATTGTGTCGAAGTTTACTTATCCACAACTTAAAATGTGAAATTTGATCCTTATTAGCATATCCAGGTGATTTTCCTTCAATCTATTTCATGATTTAGTTCTGATATTATTCATAATGCACAATTAGCACTGGAAGCTTGAAAATCTCACTTTACCCAGCTGAAACACATTCAAACTTAATTGAATTCAAATCTACTAATTAACTAGTTGCTTTCTACCCTACTAGAACCCACTTTAACCAAATAAATGCTACTCTAGAGTGGCTATCAGTTAAATAAGGTTGGCTAAAGTAGGGTATCATGCAAAAAATGGCTGTGAAAATGCACTGACAGAGTTACTCTGCCACAAAACTAAATGAATTAGCTCTGCTTCCTGTAACATAGCACATAATGATATAGCATATTACTTTTACTGCAAAAACCTTTATTATAAGGGTAAATGCTATTAATCTTACTAATAACTAGGTGAAAATCAAGAGAGTAGCAAGTGCATTCCACATTGTAATTGCACCACGGCCACGTGTCCTTCTCTGTCCCAGTTTCCCAGCCTGAAGAGAGATGTCAGTACTAGTCCAACAAATATGGAGTGGAATTCAAATTTTTATTTCTATGACACTGAAGTCCTAGCATTCTGACAAAAGTTTCTATGGCTGAACCTACCAGGATCAATCAATTGCATGGCACTTGATGGACTATTATTCAGCTTAGCAGGTGCACAGCTTAGAGGGAACTTTGCTCTTGAGGTTGGGTAGCCAACCAAGGTATTCTTGGTCTAGTGAGATGGGAAAACAAGGAAGATTGTTGGTAAGCATTCCCAACATAAGATTTCAAGGAACTGAAAACACCTCCCCAAAGAAGGTGCAGTGAGAAAACAGACAAAAACCAGGTCAAGGAGAGAGGAGGAAAGGAGGTGGACACCTGAAAGGAAAGCATCTAGACCAAGGAGATACCTAGAACAGAGAAATCATGTCAAATCAAAGACAGTGGAAGAAATAGGAACCAAAGAAGCAAATAAAGAAAAACAGGTGTCATCACCAAAACTATTGGGATCATGAAGGAGAGCAACAGCAAGGAAGTGAAGGGTGGAAATATAGCAAAGGAGTAACATCAAGATAAGATGAGCAAATTGCAGGAAAAAAAGAAATAAAGAAGAAGAAAGAAGAGCACCCTAAGCAAACTGAAGAGATACAAGAGATTACAGTTTAAGAAAGAAGGTTCCTGATCTTAGGCCATAGTAAAGGAGTCACAAAGATAAGGACAAGGAAGACATTGATCAATGTGGAATTGGGACAGAATGAAGCCCATGAAGTAAAGCAGCTCAAGAGTCATTACAATATATAGGCAAAAGAGATAGAAAGTCACATACCTGAGTTATGAGCATAGCAAACAGAAACAGAGGTACCTGTTCCTCATCAGGGAAAAACGAACAAGAAGCAAAGGCTGGAGGTGGAAGAGATGGCCAAAATTGTCAACAGGTAAGGCAGGCTCCACAGAAAGCAAGGAAACAGAATGATGAGGGACCTGAAATAGAGAAGAAATAGGCAGAATGGAACCAACCACTTGATGCATGATAGCTGTATCATCATGAGTGAAAAACATCAGCAGTGAACATGTTGTCATTCCATGGTTCATCACAACTTTATAAGATTGTGGTAATTTAATATTTCCATGATATTAATAGTACCTCACCACAGATTGAAATCAAAGACCTGTCACATACCAGGCATTTGTTCCACTAAGTGAGCAAAAGGGCTAACAACTGAACATCAGCTCCATGAACAGATAAGGTGCTTCCAATCATCATTGATACAGTTACAGAAAATGCCTAATGAGGAATTGTCTGGATTTTTGGACATTTGTTTCATCATCATAAGTAGCATAACTAAAAAATGTGGTGAATGAAGTTGCAATCACATGGATGTAACAAAAGTGGAATGACAAAAAACATAGGAAAAAAAACACATCAGAAAAGATGCAATGCCCAGGAAAAAATGAACCTGTGATCATATCCTAGTTCTCACAGAGACTACTGTTATTACTATTATAGGCTGGCATGATACAAGTGTAGTGATATGAGTTTGTTCTAGACTTGTGGCATGCACAGGAAATTCCATGACAGTTGCATCCAAGGTAATAGCCTTTAGTGTTGTAGAGAAGTACTTTCAATATTCAATTGTTAGAATAATCGAAAACAACTTGTCGGAACAATTAATGTTAATTAGTTGGTTATTTTCGTGATTTAATCAATTCATTGGAATTACAAGACACTAATCAATGTAATAGCTGCTCATGGGTGATCAATTAAATTGCCTAGCTCTACACAACTCTACCATACACTGTAGTGAATGTGCAAGCTCTGCAGTTTTATAAGTATATATATATACATATACATACATATATGTGTGTGTATGTTCAGGATTGGAACAGTATATGAACTATACAGTTTTTTGAAAACTGCAAAATTCAGAATCATCACCCTTTCATATATCAAAAATGTATTTCCAATAATACTTACCTTCTCTCACACTTTAGCTTTATCCTGACAAAAGATTCTCTTCTTTTACCATCTACACAACGGTATGAATTCTACCAAACTTGCTCCAGTCTTTATACCCCACTGTATTGCCCCTAGTGATTTTAATCTTGTGAGTCTCTCGACTTACGTCAATGTGCCTGCTATCCCTGATATGTATACAAGTTCTCTGTTTTTATTCCTCATTTACTTTTACAAGACTGGCAAGATTATCAGACCCAAACACCAACTATTGTGGGGAGAAATGGTGGGATAGTGTTATGAAAGGTAAGTATTATCGAAAATATATTTTTGGTATAGGAAAATGTAAACTTCCAAAATTCACTTACCTCACACTTTAGCTAGAATCCCATATTGACCAGGTGGAGGGACTGGTGAGGGCAAGATCCACATAGAATATATTTATGTAGAAAAACAGGTGTACTAAGTTCAGATATAATAAAGCACACTTGTGGAAGTCCATACTACTTCTGGAACAGGTATGCTCTTCACCCAGATAGAGTGAAATCTAAATGTGGGCAGTATAGGCCAACTGGCTACAGAGTCAATATTTTTCATAATCATGAGATTTGTCCAGTCCCCAACCATACATATGAGGTTCCATGTCTCATTGTTGGAATTATGGGGCTGTGGACTCAAAGTTAGATCCAAGGTGTAGTGGCTTGGGCATGGGTACCACAATATGATATAATTGTATAACAGAAATATGATATGAAGAGAACCCAACCTGAAAGTTACAGAATGTAGCGTGTCAAGCTACTGGAATTACGAAGAGAAGGCAAGAAACATCTATGTGGACAAACCCTCACTCCAACCTGAAGAAGTAGAAAATGCAACAAACCAAACTCGGAATTAGAGGCCCAGGCACCCAACCTAAAAGTTACAGAATATCGCATGTGAGCTACCAAGATTATGAAGGGAAGGCAAGCAACATCTAAGTGGACAAGTCTTCCTCCCAATATGAAGAAGCTCAGAATGTAACAAACCAAACTCAGAATTATGGAGCCAATTAACACTTCACTCAACCTGAAGAAACAAGATATCATCTGACCTGGGATTATGAACTCAAATCCTAACTCCTCAACCTGGGAGGCAATGTAACACCTCCTGCCCCCAGAATTACAAGGAAGGTGTGGAACAAATGAATTCAATGAATGGCTCATGGACATGATACTCTGCATGCAGAATTACCAGGAGTCGAGGACCCTCTTCCATGATCATGGAAAGTAAGAAAATGACCAAAAAGAAGGGCAATGCTCCTACAACAGTATAGTGAAGTGTCATCTCTGAACCAGAATTACGAGGAGGCTCCTAAGTAGGCTGGACCAGCTCCTCACCTGACATCTGGGAAACTATCCAGAGTTAAGGGTGGGAGGGTATGATTAGTTCAATCCAGAGGTTAGCAAGGATGGGCAAAGTCCCTTTATGCTTTACTCATGAAAGTCCACAAGTGGTGGTCCAGTATTGTATGTAATATTTGATGTAGAACAATTGTTCACCAACTGGAAAGTGCCAACAGGAATTTAGTTATTAGTCTACTGGTAGCTAGTGTGGATTTGTAAAAGCATATCTGACCAGGCAGCACTCACCATTGAGTGGGATCCAAATGAGAATGATGAGAAGGTCCCTGAAAAGAAATGAAGTTACTCATCTCTGTCACAATCGAGCCAGGGGCATGTAGAATAGCCACAGGGGGTAGCCAAAACCCATCGGACTATCTAAATCATATAAACAATGGGATATAAAGGTATTAGGTGTGGTCCACATACCAGTCATTACAAATTTCTCTAGCAGTCAGTGCAACCAAGCTGCCAGGGGCATTAATATGTGTTGAACCTAATAAGATGAGAATTGAAAAAGTCTCCACTCTTCTAATGAAAGACCATTTGAAGCTATTTGAACCAACAGAGGAATCCAACTTATGAAAGTGACAGGGGATAAGTTGTGTGAAACCAAAGGATCCTAATGGATAAATAACCTGTAACGTGATCCCCAAGATGCTTCAGCACACATCAGATGACATAAGTTAACCTGAACAGGGCAGCGTAAAAAATAATCCAGATCTGAAAGGTCGTATAAATGGAAAAAGGAAGGAAGATGAATAGGAGAGAAAACCTTATCTCCTTCCATAGCTGGTGCAAATTTAGGTAGAAAGGACCTTGTCTGGATACAACAGAACATAGTTGGAATGTTACAGTATCCTGCGAACATGAAGAGTAAACACCATTGAACCTTTCGAACCCCACTAGCCAATAACAAGAAGAAAACATGTTTTAAGTGAAAGATGATAATATAATAGAACAATAGACCC